CGAGGAAGGGCCGGACGGCAGCGGCGGCGCGGGCCCCAGACTCACCATGGCCGTAGAGCCGCGAGCGCGCCCACAGCCCAGAGTCACAAGGCGCCGGCAACGCCCGTTGTCCTGGTGACGCCAGCTGGGCGCCCCGCCCCGTCCCTAAGGTGGGCTCGGAGGCGGCCATTGGCTGCCGGTGAGCACGTGACGCGCAGGGGCGGTGCCCTTGGACCTCCCCCGGCGCCCCCCGCGCCTCGGCTCTTGGGCGGGGTCTCTTCGCCTTTCCTCCTTTGCAGCTGGTCCATCACCACCCTGATCACCTTGATATCCCTCACCTGACAGATAACCACACCCTTCCCCCCACCCCCCGCCGCAGACTGCCTGTATGGATTTTCTTTATTTAAGAAACAGATTACACAGGTAATACATGATTATTGGAGACATCTTACACTAAAAATAACAAATCAAAAAGAATAAAACCACGCCAAATCCCAACACCTGAGGTAACCACTGCTTATATTCCAGTCTATCTGCTTCCAAACTTCCAACAAAGTATGTATTATTATAATATGATGCAGTCTCAGAAATAAAAGCAACCACACGCATTTTTATAATCTACTTTTTTCAATTAAAAATTATCTTTGCATGCCAATTCATGTAATAGCATTGTATGCATACACTAATTTATTAAATCACTCAGCGACTTGTTGGATGTTTTTAGTATTGCTGAAGGGAACCTTAATAGATGATATCCTCAAATCCAGCCCATCAAGTCTATGAAGAAGATACATATACAACAGCCGATCTGACATCTCCCCTTGAATGTCTAATAGGCATCCCACACTTGATTTAGCCCAAATAAGACTATTGATCCAAGTTTCTTACTCTCCAGTCTTCCTCATCCCTTCAAACATTCCCACTATCCCCTTGGTTGTTCAGGACAAAAACCTAGGAATCATCCTTGATTCTCTCCTTTCATCACACCTGACATTCAATTCTGAATCTGTTCATTTCTCACCACCTCCACCTCACAGCCATCATCATCTGTCTAAATTGGTCTCCCTGGCCACGCAACAACACGCAACAGTAGCATTTCAGGAGCTTCTCCTGGCACTCAGGACAAAAATCTGTTTCTGGCAGTGAGAAACTTGGTTACAGTTACCTACAATACATGAACTTATTTTTTCAACCCCCATGTATAATAGTTTCAAAATTACTAATTACTAATTCACATCCCCGAAAGAAACAAATTTACCGACTATAATACATTGTTTTATATGGGTTTTTTTGTCTTTAGCATTTCAGTATTCATTCAAAACACTTGTTTTCCAAAGTTACTTTGGTAAGCTTCTTTACCCACCCCATTCCGTGTGATTGTATCAAATATAATGCACATTTTATATACAATTAAAGTCACTTGTAACACTCTGAATTCCATCTTGGTGGCTGGCTTAAAAAAAATTGCATACAGTAAAATTTTCTCCTCTTAGTCTGTCGTTCTGTGGCTTCTGGCAAATGCAAAAGATTGTATATCTACCACAGAACCATATAAAACAGTTCCATCATCCTCCAAATTCCCATAGTCACCTCTTCTCCCACATCCACCCCCTAGCAACCACTGAACCATTTTCCATCTCTATAGTTTTCCCTTTTTAAGGATGTCACATAAATGGACTTATACAATATATAGCCTGTTGGATTTTTTCACTTAACAAAGTGCATCTGAAATTCATCCACGTTGTTATGTGAATCAACAGTTCATTTCTTTTTTACTGCTGAGTAGTATTCCATTGTATGGACATAATTTGTTTACCCATTCATCTGTTGGAGAACATCTGGGTTGCTTCCAGCTTTTAACAATTTTGAATAAAGCTGCTAAAAGCACTCACAAACAGATTTTTGTGTGAACATTAGTTTTCAACTCATTGGGATAGATAATCAGGACTGGGATTTCTGGGTTATGAGGAAAACATTCAATATCTGGTTATTAAGCATGATGTTAGCTGTAGAATTTTACCGGGGCCCTTTACTAAGTTAACGGACTTTCCTTCTATTCCTAATTTGCTGGGAGGTTTTTGGGGGTTTTTGTTTTGTCTTGCTTACTGAATGCGTATCGAATTTTGTCCAGCACTTTCTCAGAGTTCTCCGGTACTTGCTTTTTCTATTCTGCCCACAGTATTTTGCTGCAATAAAACACAGAAAGACTGTAGCAGGCATACTCTGTCTTGGTCAGCATCCAAAGTCCTCAAAGTCTAATCTTAATTGATAGTGCCTCCCTCCCCGCCCCCTCCCGTCTTCTTCATCAACTTGGGGCACTATAACAAAGTGCCATAGACTGACAGGCTCATAAATAATAAAAATGTATTTCTAGCAATTTATTTCTTCTTCTAGTTCTGGAGATAGAAGTCTGAGATCAGGGTGCCAACACGGTCATGTTCTGGTGAGTTGCAGACTGCTCCCTTCCCTTGCATCCTCACATGGTGGAGAAAGGGGGAGAGAGCTCTCTGAGGTCCCTTTTATAAGGGCACTAATCCCACTAAAATGGTCACTTTGGGGGTTAGGATTTCAATATATGAATTTTGAAGAAGGGAGAGATACATTTAGTCCATTGCACACCCCTTCCTGAACAATACAACGAACTTAGAACATCTTAACTCCATTTCTCCCTCCCAACTTGTATGCTGTTTTCATGTATTTTAGTTTATTAAACATTTAAAACCCCATAAGAACTTATTGTTGTTTTATGCAGCCAGCAATCCTCAGTATTTACCTATTTATTCATTCTCATTCTCACTGTATCTCTGGTCTTCCATCATAGACATTTTCCTTTTCCCAAAAGAACACTTTTGGTATTTTCTTTACTATGGTGTTAAGTTACGTAGTTTTTGTATGTCTGAAACCAAAAGGTCCTTATTTCACCTTCCTTCACAAAGGATGTTTTCACTGGCCATAGAAATCTTAGTTGGCAGTCATTTTCTCTCTGTAATTTAAATATATTATTCTTTTGTCTTTGGATTCTCATTGTTTCTATAGGGAAATCATCTGTAGGTTTAGTTCTCTCTCCTTTGAAGGTGACCTCTCTTTTTCCCCTTAGCATTTTAAGATTTTATTTGTGTCTTTGGGTTTCCGCAGTTTTACTATAATGTGCCCACGTATGGCTTTCTTTGTACTGATCCTGGGTGGCTTTGTATGTCTTCTAGGATCTGTGGTTTGATATCTCTCATCAGTTGAGAAAAACTCTCAGCTGTAATCTCTTAAAATATTTATCTGCCCCATTCTTCCTCCCCTTTCCTGCTAAAACTTAAGTTATCATGTGATTGATCTTCACAGAGAATTATATACTATATCTCTTATTTCCCTTTTTCTTTTATATTTCTTCCTTTTGTCTCTTTATGTTTAATTCTGGGTATTTTCTTCCAACATATCTTCAAGTTCACAAAATCTTTCTTCAGCAAAGTTTAATCTGCTGTGAAAAATAGTCACTGAGTTTTTCACTTCAAGTATAATTTTTAGTTGTAGACTTTAATTTTTAATTTTTTATGGTGTCTAGTACTCTGCCATATTTCTCAGGCTTGTCTTGTATCTCCCTGAATACAATGAATAGGCATCTGAAAGTCTGAATCTGATAGCTCCAATATCTGGTTTCTCTCCGGTTTTCTTTTTATAATGTTATTTCTGTTGTTTTTTATTTTTTTCCTTTTTGTCTTTTGTGTGCCTGTTTTATTTTAATTGTTGTTCAGATAGATATTTGCAAAATTGTTAGTAGATTAAATTCGTTCCCCAGAATAATGTCTTTTTCCTCTAGAGAACAGATACTTATTTCTGGCAGGCACATGGATGCCCAAGAAATGAGTTAACTTTAAACCAAATTCATGAATCAGATTATTCAAAGCTGAGTTGAAATCTCTCCAAGAACCAGCCTTTTCGTGTTCTTTTATTTTTAATTGAAGTACAGTCAGTTTACAATGCTGTGTCAGTTTTCTAGTGTACAGCATCATAGTTCAGTCACACAGATACATACACATATTCATTTTCATGTACTTTTTTCATTATAGGTTACTACCCGATATTAACTATAAGAACCAGCCTTTTCTTGTATAACCTTATTACTAATGTGGAGCACTGAGGTCCCAACACAAAGCAAAGGAACACCCCTTCTTGGTTGCACTGGGTCATTGTCCAGGCTCCTCAGCCTGACAAGGCAATCAAAACAACCCTTCAGATTCTCATCCTCTCAGCAGTCCCCTCTGAAATGAGTAAATAATCCCCCAGCAGGGAAAGAGGTCCTAACCCCTAAGCTATCCCAGAGCACCTGCCCTAGTCTAACAGTTACTTACCATCTCATCAGATGCTTGACAATTTTAGGTACTGTTATTAAATTTTGCACAGGTTTTTAAACGTCCTTATCCACAGAAAGAGACTTATCTAATTTATTTCACCATTATCAGAAGTGAAAATTCCTGCGCACAGACATAGAAAACAAACCTATGGTTACCAGCGAGGATAGAGGGTGGAAAGGGATAAACTGGGAGTTCAAGATTTGCAGATACTAACTACTATCTAGAAAATAGAAAAACAACAAGGTTCTACTGTAGAGCACAGGGAACTATATTTAATATCTTGTAGTAACCTACAAGAAAAAGAACATGAAAAGGAGTATATGTATGTGTATGTATGACTGGGTCATGATGCTGTACACTAGAAACTGACATAACATTGTAAGCTGACTATGCTTCAATTAAAAACAATTTTTTAAGAAGAAGTGAAAATTCCTTTAAGCCTTTTCTTTTCATGCCATATGGATGGATGCAAGCACAGATAGCACCGACATAAATAGAACTAAATAAACACGATATAGCTATACAGACATAGATACCAGACAGTATTGTGTAGCGCGTACTTTAATGTTTTACAAGAATTAATATCATAACGTATATTCAGGAAATTTCTTTGTTTTCTCAACAGTGCGTCTTGGAATTCTATATTAGAACATACAGATCTCCTACATTCTTTTTTAATAGTCCCCACTGAACTCGTAACATTGGCTATCTCTGGTAAGGTTAGGGTCCGTCTTTGAAAGAGTTGGTAGTCAAACCAACTCCTCTCTCTCTCTCTCTCTCTTTCTCTATATATATAACATTTTGATATAATCTTTATATAACATTTTAATTTTT